AGATAATCACAAAGAAAAATACGGATAATAAGTCGATTTGCTAGGTGCACATGACAGTGCACATCTGACACGGATTTGTGTCAATCCTGTTCAGCTGACAGAGCACATCTGACAAAGGTTTGTGTCAATCTTGTTCAGCCGACAGAGCACATCTGACAAAGGTTTGAGTCAACCTTGTTCAGCCGACAGAACACACCTGACAAAGGTTTGTGTCAATCTTGTTCAGCCGACACAACACACCTGACAAAGGTTTGTGTCAATCTTGTTCAGGCGACAGAGCACATCTGACAAAGGTTTGAGTCAAGCTTGTTCAGGCGACAGAGCACATCTGACACGGGTTGGTGTCAATCTTGTTCAGTCAACAGAGCACATCTGAAAATGGTTTGTGTCAATCTTGTTCACCTGACAGAGTACATCTGGCAAAGGTTTGTGTCAATATTGTTCAGCCGACAGAGCACATCTGACACCGGTTTGTGTCAATCTACTTCAGCCGACAGAGCACATCTGACAAAGGTTTGTGTCAATCTTGTACAACCGACAATGTTTGATGAATATGTATAACTGCTAACGCTAATGCTTCACTTCAGTCTTCTTTATATAAATATGAATATGATTCATCCACTACATGCTATTGATATCTACGTTTAAAACCACGTTTTGGTGTGTGTATGTGAGAGTGTGTGTGACCGTGTGCGAGGAGAAACTGTCTCTCTCCTCTCTCCCCCCTCCTCCCCCTCTCTCTCTCTCTCTCTCTGTGGTTTGAGAATGTGGGTTATCATTTGGTGTTGAGATAAACACGTTATCACGCGGGCGACTGATGACTCTAGTACCGATCTTAACACTCAGTACACTATAGTCATTTCATTGGTGTGGTATTAGTTTGTAAAACATATTTTTCTTATTCTCCTTGACGTTTAAAAATCAACATTACATAATTCCTGTTAGTTATACGTCAATATTAAGTAAGGAAATGAATTGTTAGTTGTTAGTCTGTCATACAGACCCTCAAACATATATGCCCAACGCAGCCCATGCAAGTCTAGAATGAGTGGCAAGTCCAGATTACGAGAGTTTCTCAAAATGAAGAAAGTCTCTTTTTGGACTCCTTTTCATTGTATTTTATTTTAATTTAAACCTTTTTGTCTGTAAAATATGTTCATTTCAGAGACGAGATACAAACCACACAACTAAAGAATATAACATAAATATGTTTATATAATGCGTACATAATATAATTTAATGTATACTTAAATGGTATTCAAAGACTTCAAAGAGACCGTGTCACCAACTTCCATGGCAGCCAATATCCAATCTCTATCCATACAAATGATTTTCTTTTTAAATTCGAAGAAAGATTACCATCTCACAAACTGACACCAAAACAATTAAAACTTTATCTGTTGCCTCTAACGTCAGTCTACCTCTGGGATACCCTGCTGTCGAGTAAGGAACCAGGCCCCGGGATCATGACAAAATCTTAAGTCTAAAATTTGCTTAGCACAAAAATATCTTAAGTCTGAATATTTTTGCTTAGCTAAGATTTTAGATAAGACTGGATCATGAAACTGTCTCAGCCAAATCTTAGCTAAGACTAAGACTAAGACAGTTACCATGGAAATTTTAGAATGATGTAATCATGTCCGGTCACTCTTAAATAATTGAGGAGAATAGTTTAGTAGCAGGCACCTGCTGAAATGTTCCAAACAAGTCAACTGACGCTTTTATCCCTGCCGCGGTGACTTTTAGTGTCTTTAAGGTTGGGATGTTTTCTAAATACACCAACACGAACGCCTAAATGCGCTTTCTGCCATATTGCATTGGATAGTGTTTTCAAAATCACGTTTCGCGAAGGCCGGTATTGAGACGCCTATTACATCACGTATATTTCCTATTCAGCTGTGACAAATACATCACTGAATTCCTCATACATTTTAGTATCAAATAAGAAATGGTCTTTGTCACTAAAACCAAGTGTCTAGGTGATATGAAACAAACGCTGTGTGAGAAAGACAGCACTTGTTGAAATGTAAACAAAGAAACATTGAGACTTTACACTGTGTACTGCATTTTCTCAAATTTCAGACACCCATTCGTCTATTCGTAGCATGCATAGGCTAAATACTTTTAGAACATACATGGAAATAGTATCGTAGCAAAAAATAATAGATACAATACAGTAATGTGATATGTTTATACGAAATTGTCAAAGTTTCTGTGCAGCGTAACGTCATGACTGACGGAAAATCTCGCAGAACAACAACGGTAATGATCGGCATATCTGGCTTCTTCTCTTACTTGCAATGAAAACGATAAAACATGTAACAATACACAGATAGTCAGAATCATTCTGATTACTCACATCACACATTTATGTACAAACGATCCCCGAATCAAAGGAAAGGTCCTCGCAAAATCCTGTATACCCATGTCACCGAAGCCGCCATTTTGTAAGAAATCGGTCAACGGTTGTGATGTCATATACGTCAACATTGTTGTTACATATTTGGCAATTTCTTTGAGGTGAAGGTCGGTTGAATAAGAGTAAACGCAATCGCCATGTTCCACCGATTACAATTTCAGTGTATATTTTGAGTATCTTTCAGATATTTTTTCATGAAACTAATTTCATTATCTACATTTAGCCTTGTTCTATATCATATCCTTGGATATAGGGTATACGGTTTTCATTCTTTGAAGGGTTTTGTTTGTTTGAATAATATTTACATAAGAAATTGATATACTGAGTGTAGTACACCATATTTTACACCCTTGAACAAGTATTAAAAGAACAAACGAAGGCGTAACTGCAACATGTACTTAAATAGTTCATGTATCATGTGCAATATTCGCCATTCGGACCAATATTACAGTTGCATATGAACAGGTTATGAATAGCGATTTAACTTTCATGACCCCGGGGCCAGGGTTGTGAAATATTCTTTTTAATTTACGTCAAATTGATGCCAAACAGGTGCGTGTGTTGTTCATATTAAGATACAAAGTCAAACCGTCTAATTATGGATCTATTCAGGACATTATTTAAATGGTAAAATCAGCCATTTTAAGTTCTGTCACAACAGTGTTAAATTCAGACATAGAAACCGAAACCTTTTACACAATTCATGGAAATTATGTGAGACATATACTGATCAGCATACCAATGTCGTTTTTTTCCGACGTCGCAAAATACATAAAACAAGCAATGACGTCAACTACAATTTTGTAATCTTTTCAGTAATTTCATTATATTTGAAGATATGGCTAGTATTCAGTAAATAATGATGCAAAATCAGTCAAAATACATCTACACAAACAGGAGAATATGTGAATTTAAGAACTAATTTACATATCAGATAGGGCCATCCAAATCGCTTTTACGTGCTTTCTCATGTAGTACATTGTCATCTTTCCTTATAACTTGTGAAACTACTAACGTATCCGCTCACATTGGGGAACTTTGTATTGGAATACATGTAGTTTGGTTCACGGTGAACAAAACATAAGGAAAATATAGCGTCCGTATCCACAACGAATTCTCTCCAAGTGATATGAGTTACACTGACCTAGTGTTAAGCATAGCGGAGTTATGCCCCCTTATCTTTATACGCGTATGACCTCTCTGTCGTCCTTTGACGTCATAGAAGAAAATCCATTTTTGACATTTATTGCGAGTCATTTTTAATGTTGAGCGTATAACGTTATGCATAAGCAAATAAACCCATTTCATATATACTTATGTCGTTCAGATATCAGGCTGTAATTTATACGATCACACTTTCTGTAAAGATGCCAAATTAAAAAATCGTAGCACAGTGCTTTTACCGGTGCACGATCAAAAGCGGAGAAATTTACTGTTTTTGAATGCATAGCAAAATTTTGGACATCATTTAGCAGTGTTTATTTCTCAAACCGCCGAGGTATTTGCATTTGACGGTTAAAATGTGTCATTTCGACTCACAAGTTCTCAGCGACACGGTAACGTTCGTAATGTTTACATTCCCACAATGCAATCGTGGAATGTCGCTTGACTACTCAACTTCCTCTGGATGTACTGATCTAAACTGACGCTGGTAGTAGAAATGCAACGTTCATATTGCCCCATATGGTTTACGTTAATGACAGATGTAATTAAAATAATTCAGAGAAGATATTTAATCCGAACGTAAACCGTCATCAAACTGTTATCATTTGTTTTTTTTCTGGTAACGTTCGTCTTAACGTAGGGGGCAGACACATCAATAGAACAGCGCGCCAGTTAGCCCTGTGCGAGGATTCTTAATTTAGGTCACCGACACCGTCGTTTGTTTTCTGCAGTCTGCCTTAAATTAATCGTAATTATCTTTAGAAAGTATTAAATTTGGCATCTTAGAAAAGAAATACACTTCGCCCTACCACCATGTATAGTGTAATAAAACACACTTTCGCCCTGAACTATTATAACGTTAAAGCACTCGGACGCAAGCGTCCTCATGCTTTAACTATAATAGTTCAGGGCAAAAGTGTGTTTTATTACACTTAATACATGGTGGTAGAGCGAAGTGTATTTCTTAAGTAAAACGTTCTATCTAACCTTATCACACTATGTGTATGGACTAAAGCATACTTCAGCGATGTTAAATTAAGGGGGGCATTGGCTGTATATACCAATTACACGACCAGACGACCATTCACAAAGTAACATATACTTTTTTATCTGACAAAATACCTGACGTTATCACAAGGTTAGTGGGCTGACACGTGCCCCTGACATACCCAGAACATTGCAGACATAATGTCCAAACTTAACTGTGAGACCACCCTTGAGTGTCCATTTCCTATGTGTTATATGTTTCGGTTTTATCACGTATGGGTGTATACTTCCGTTAGTTTATTTTCGTATACAAATGTGTCCTTTATAATGGCGGAAATAAAGAGTATGTTCGACATACAGCTAAACAGGAAAGAAATACGCAATTCTGTAGACCAACTGTTGGACATTGTGTGTTGGCAAGCATGGTAGCTGAAGTGTATGGGTTGAGGATTCCTGACTGGTGTAAGGATCGTGTCAACACGACACCGTGGTGTATCTGTACAGCCGTAGTGTATCTGTATGGTATAGCCGTGGTTGATCACACGAACCAGGGAAATCGGAAGGCTTCTACTTACCAGAGATCTGTAAAGTTGAAGTAACGGGACTCAAGTTCACATCCATGTAAGTAAACATTAGGTATAAATTCCCTGGTATGGCAACAGCCAGCACAACGCCCAGCACATATTTGCAGCGTACTGGCATGTCGACAGACAGCCTGGAACTGGCACACAGCGAACAACACAGATTGTACCGCTCTCCGGCTGCTGTGTCACAACCTCTCTGTGGCTGCTCCGCGAACAGGATGTGTAGACCTTTCCCGGCCTACACGCACGCGCTGTCAGAGGTCAGAGGTAAGCATCGTATCTCGCTTCGATATTACAGCTGATTATCCCATTCTATGATATTCGCATTGTTTTGATTAGCTGGTGTTGTTAGGGACTAGTTAGTAATGTCCTAAATTTAAACCGTTGGAAATATAGTTTAGTATTGTTATCATGATAAATATGATGGTATGGGATTCTGTTATGACTGTCAAGAAGAGAGAACGAATGAAACATAGGCGGATCCAAAGGGGGCGGGGCGCAGGGGTGCAGGGTGCGCACCCCCTTTGCCCTGAAAGTTTATTAAATGACCATCGGAACTCGGGTGAAAATGAAGTGTGCACCCCTCCTTTTCTCAATAGTGTGCAACCAACCCTTCCTCAAAAAGCTGTATCCGCCCCTGTGAAACATGTATTTATGAAAAGTAATTTTGGGGGATGCGAAAATACGTGTCGTTAGCAATTTTATGATTCCAACACAAGCAGCTGCACATAAACAGACACCTCACGTGCTGGTCGAGAAGTCGTCAGACACAACTGTAATCATTCATTTATCATTTTACCTTCAAGTAAACCATTTTACACCACTGCTATTTTTATCTCATCATTAAGTCTTATCTTACTCTTTCATTCTTTTAGTTTATAGTGCTCTTACCTATTGAGTATTATCTTGAAGCGCTTTGAGCACGCACTCAGTGGCTGGATGTATAACGATGTATACATGTTCAGTATTATTATTAATTTTGTAGTTGTTTATTATCTCAGTGATTGTTGGAGTGGAATATGCTGTGTTTCAATGTCCTGTTGTGTTCTACGTGTTTTACGATGTAACCAAAATGTCCTTCTGGATAATAAAGTATTATCTTATCTTATCGTAGTCGCATATAGCAAACAACATCATTGAGCGATGCCCTTTAACAATGGAATAGTCCACGTTGATAGGGGGTTTAAGCTGTTTGTCTAAAAGTGTTCGTGGGCAATAAATCACGAGGGATGAGGGAGCGTCATCATGTTTGTCAACTGTTTAACGTCGCACTCAACAATTTTCCAGCTGTCTGACAGTGGTCTATAAAGAATCCTGTCTGGACCACATAGTCCAATGATTGATATCACGAGCATCGATCTTCATCATTGTTATACGATGACATGTCAGATATTGACACAAACACTCCTCATACAGAAAGAACATCTGTCTCTGTAACACTTTTGCAACATGAAGTTTGTTGTGTATACCACTGCTTTTCTTGAACGCAACAAAAGGTATAACAGTTCTCGAAGTACATAGCGGAGATTTGTCTGTCATACAGACCCTGAAACAAATATACCCAAGAAAGCCCATGCAAGTCTTATATATCTGGCAAGTTTAGATTTGCATAGTTTCTGAAAATGAAGAAAGTGTCTGGGCTCCTTTTCATTGTATTTCATGATTACTGTTTTTTTTGTGTGTAAAATATATATTCATTTTTGAGACTAGCTGATGGTCTGAGCGGAAATCATCCCCATTGGTCGTCACAGGAACTATAAGCGGCCATTAGGTTGACCACTCGTTCATGTCCTGAGCATGGAGATTTGTCGACGTGACTAAGCCACAGTACATATACCAAGCAAAACGATACTTTGGTTAGTTTGCTTCACAGTAATGTCCTCAGCAAAAAGGCGTGAGCAGGGATCCGCCCCTCTAGCATAATATGCGAAATCACGACCAGCATGGTGTTTGGAAGGTCAACTAGAACTAAATGGCAACTGCATTGCATATCTCTGTTCCTCCAAATGTCAAACGGGGACGATCAGGTCAAAGAGCGAAACCCAAAGCTGGCTTTATATCTTAAATTTATTCTGCGTGAGGAACACGTATGCATCACGGAAAATATTTCCGCAACGAAAATGTATAAACACGACGTTAACAGATATGACGCATTTGTTCAACAAGACATTAATCTCTCGGTGAACAGTCGGTCTATTTTTAATCGAGCACTTCATCATTTCCGCGACGATTTCACTTTTCTCAACGATAACAAGGTCAGACTCGTCTTTCCTCCTGCTTGTTGCGTAACAGAATATGCGCGGGATCATACGACTGTAATGTGACAGGCTAATGTGTATATTAAAAACATACATATATTTTCAGTAAAATAACTATCACACATCATGGTGAATATCAGTAAAATAACTGACACACTTCGTGGTGAATATCAGCAGAATAACTATCACACATCTTAATGAATATCAGTAAAATTACTGTCATACATCTTGGCAAATATCAGTAAATTAACTGATTTTCAGGAAAATATACTAGAACAGGGAACATTATAATTTCAGTGGGTTCCTTCCGCGAAAACCATTTTCTTCGGGTAAAGTGTTCAGTTATCCCATCTTACAGTCCCAGCTCACACAGAGACACGACGTACGGTAAGAGGCGACTAACGGGATCGGGTGGTCAGGCTCGCTGACTTGGTTGACACATATCATCGGTTCCCAATTGCGCAGATCGATGCTCATGCTTTTGATCATTGGATTTTCCATTCCAGACCCAATTATGTACAGACCACCGCCATATAGCTGGAATATTGCTGAGTGCGGCGTAAAACTTAACTCACTCACTCACATGATGTACACTGAACACTGTTCACTGTCGTATGCATTGACTCTCTTGATGGGTTTCCTTGAATTGCACGACTCTGTAGCTGCTTAAACTCAACAAATAGACACACTACCCAAGGTTGAATATCAACTAGTATAATGGCTGAATAGACATCAGATGATGGTAAACTATTACCTGACTGGTGCAAATACCGAAATCTTTCTCAGACAAGGTTATAATTACAGAAACAGAAAAATGACGCATTTTGTGTTATTTTTTTCATACATGAACTGGAAACATTTTACGAAAGAAGAACGGCAAAGTTTCTGTACTCGTAGTCAAAGGGAAACCACTCTCATTCGAAACAAATATATAGCCCTTTACAAGAAAATGTCACGGTCTTTTCCACGGCATGCACATATGTTTTAGGGTGTCACCACAGGCGAGAGTCGGACCACAGGCCCAAGCCACAGTCCCACCACAGGCTAGGCGAGAGTCGGACCACAGGCCCAAGCGACAGTCCCACCACAGGCCCAACTGAGAGTCACAGCACAGGCTCGGGAAAGAGTCGTACCTCAGTCCCAGGTGGGAGTCGCAGATCCATCGCGTATACTGGTGCCATGTCAGCCGAAATAAAGACACCTTCTAACAATATCTCTACGACATTGTCATACTTCTAATTTGATATAAAACTATGCACAATCGTTAGTAATTCCCATGCAATGTTTGCAACATGTCCTACAATTAATGTAAAATCTATTCACCTACGCTCTATGCCACTGAACTATTCAACCAACAGACCCTATAATAGGCACTATAATCGATGATTGTTGTGTCATCGACTGGATTCGATTTGTTGTTAGGCCTGTTAAAATCGATAAGTGTCACGTGGAAACCATTCGGTACTGAAGTCTGAGATGCCACTGTAGACCCATACTGACCGGCGGCAAAGCTCCTGGGCCAAGCACAAGAAGTTGTCAGACATATTAATGTCAAAACACGGTATCGCCTCTTTTGAGGCGGTCTGTGCAGCAAATATATACTCATTACTTGCCACCAGTCTCCCAGTCACGTGACAACCATGTTTGGTTAGTGCACTTCGAAAAGTGATTCCAGAATGCCACATTATCCGCTCGGATTTAACTCCGACAACTCTCTGTTATTTCAAAGAATCTTTTGAATAGGAGATGTGCCGGCTGAAGTATGCCAGGTGGATCTGAGACAGGTGTGGTGTGCGTCTGGGTGGAATTGGCTGTAGTTGCTGGCTGTAGTTACGGACTGGGTGATGCTGGCTGTAGTTACGGGACTGGGTGACGCTGGCTGTAGTTACGGGACTGGGTGATGCTGGCTGTAGTTACGGGACGGGGTGACGCTGGCTGTAATTACGGGACTGGGTGATGCTGGCTGTAGTTACAGGACTGGTTGATGCTCGCTGTAGTTACGGGACTGGGTGACGCTGGCTGTAGTTACAGGACTGGGTGATGCTGGCTGTAATTACGGGACTGGGTGATGCTGGCTGTAGGTACAGGACTGGTTGATGATCGCTGTAGTTACAGGACTGGGTAACGCTGGCTGTAGTTACAGGACTGGATGATGCTGGCTGTAGTTACGGGACTGGGTGATGCTGGCTGTAATTACGGGACTGGGTGATGCTGGCTGTAGTTACGGGACTGGGTGATGCTGGCTGTAGTTACGGGACTGGGTGATGCTGGCTGTAGTTACGGGACTGGGTCATGTTGGCTGTAGTTACGGGACTGGGTGATGTTGGCTGTAGTTACGGGACTGGGTGATGCTGTTTGTAGTTACGGGACTGGTTGATGCTGGCTGTAATTACGGGACTGGGTGATGTTGGCTGTAGTTACGGGACTGGGTGATGCTGGCTGTAGTTACGGGAATGGGTGATGCTGGCTGTAGTTACGGGACTGGTTGATGCTCGCTGTAATTACCGGACTGGGTGATGCTGGCTGTAGTTACGGGACTGGGTGATGCTGGCTGTAGTTACGGGACTGGTTGATGGTGGCTGTAGTTACGGGACTGGGTGATGCTGGCTGTAGTTACGGGACTGGTTGATGCTCGCTGTAATTACGGGACTGGGTGATGCTGGCTGTAGATACGGGACTGGGTGATGCTGGCTGTAGTTACGGGACTGGGTGATGCTGGCTGTAGTTACGGGACTGGGTGATGCTGGCTGTAGTTACGGGACTGGTTGATGGTGGCTGTAGTTACGGGACTGGGTGATGCTGGCTGTAGTTACGGGACTGGTTGATGCTCGCTGTAATTACGGGACTGGGTGATGCTGGCTGTAATTACGGCACTGGGTGATGCTGGCTGTAGTTACAGGACTGGGTGATGCTGGCTGTAATTACGGGACTGGGTGATGCTGGCTGTAGTTACGGGACTGGTTGATGCTCGCTGTAGTTACGGGAATGGGTGATGCTGGTTGTAATTACAGGACTGGGTGATGCTGGCTGTAGTGACAGGACTGGGTGATGCTGGCTGTAGTTACAGGACTGGGTGGTACTGGATGTAGTTACGGGACTGGGTGATGCTGGCTGTAGTTACGGGACTGGGTGATGCTGGCTGTAATTACGGGACTGGGTGATGTTGGCTGTAGATACGGGACTGGTTGATGCTCGCTGTAGTTACGGGACTGGGTGGTGCTGGCTGTAGTTACGGGACTGGGTGATGCTGGCTGTAATTACGGGACTGGGTGATGTTGGCTGTAGTTACGGGACTGGGTGATGCTGGCTGTAGTTACGGGACTGGGTGATGCTGGCTGTAGTTTCGGGACTGGGTGATGCTGGCTGTAATTACGGGACTGGGTGATGCTGGCTGTAGTTACGGGACTGGTTGATGCTCGCTGTAGTTACAGGACTGGGTGATGCTCGCTGTAGTTACAGGACTGGGTGATGCTCGCTGTAGTTACAGGACAGGGTGATGCTCGCTGTAGTTACAGGACTGGGTGATGCTCGCTGTAGTTACGGGACTGGGTGATGCTCGCTGTAGTTACGGGACTGAGTGGTGCTGGCTGTAGTTACGCGACTGGCTGGTTCTGGCTGTAGTAACGGGACTTGGTGATGCTGGCTGTAGTTACAGGACTGGGTAACGCTGGCTGTAGTTACGGGACTGGGTGATGCTGGCTGTAGTTACGGGACTGGGTGATGCTGGCTGTAATTACGGGACTGGGTGATGCTGGCTGTAATTACGGACTGGGTGATGTTGGCTGTAGTTACGGACTGGGTGATGCTGGCTGTAGTTACGGGACTGGGTGATGCTGGCTGTAGTTACGGGACTGGGTGATGCTGGCTGTAATTACGGGACTGGGTGATGCTGGCTGTAATTACGGCACTGGGTGATGCTGGCTGTAGTTACAGGACTGGGTGATGCTGGCTGTAATTACGGGACTGGGTGATGCTGGCTGTAGTTACGGGACTGGTTGATGCTCGCTGTAGTTACGGGAATGGGTGATGCTGGTTGTAATTACAGGACTGGGTGATGCTGGCTGTAGTGACAGGACTGGTTGATGGTGGCTGTAGTTACAGGACTGGGTGGTACTGGATGTAGTTACGGGACTGGGTGATGCTGGCTGTAGTTACGGGACTGGGTGATGCTGGCTGTAATTACGGGACTGGGTGATGCTGGCTGTAGATACGGGACTGGTTGATGCTCGCTGTAGTTACGGGACTGGGTGGTGCTGGCTGTAGTTACGGGACTGGGTGATGCTGGCTGTAATTACAGGACTGGGTGATGCTGGCTGTAGTTACGGGACTGGGTGATGCTGGCTGTAGTTACGGGACTGGGTGATGCTGGCTGTAGTTTCGGGACTGGGTGATGCTGGCTGTAATTACGGGACTGGGTGATGCTGGCTGTAGTTACGGGACTGGGTGATGCTCGCTGTAGTTACAGGACAGGGTGATGCTCGCTGTAGTTACAGGACTGGGTGGTGCTGGCTGTAGTTACGCGACTGGCTGGTTCTGGCTGTAGTAACGGGACTTGGTGATGCTGGCTGTAGTTACGGGTCTGGGTGATGCTGGCTGTAGCTATGGGACTGGGTGATTCTGGCTGTAGTTACAGGACTGGGTGATGCTGGCTGTAGTTACGGGACTGGGTCATGTTGGCTGTAGTTACGGGACTGGGTGATGTTGGCTGTAGTTACGGGACTGGGTGATGCTGTTTGTAGTTACGGGACTGGTTGATGCTGGCTGTAATTACGGGACTTGGTGATGTTGGCTGTAGTTACGGGACTGGGTGATGCTGGCTGTAGTTACGGGAATGGGTGATGCTGGCTGTAGTTACGGGACTGGTTGATGCTCGCTGTAATTACCGGACTGGGTGATGCTGGCTGTAGTTACGGGACTGGGTGATGCTGGCTGTAGTTACGGGACTGGTTGATGGTGGCTGTAGTTACGGGACTGGGTGATGCTGGCTGTAGTTACGGGACTGGTTGATGCTCGCTGTAATTACGGGACTGGGTGATGCTGGCTGTAGATACGGGACAGGGTGATGTTGGCTGTAGTTACAGGACTGGGTGATGCTGGCTGTAGTTACGGGACTGGGTGATGCTGGCTGTAGTTACGGGACTGGTTGATGGTGGCTGTAGTTACGGGACTGGGTGATGCTGGCTGTAGTTACGGGACTGGTTGATGCTCGCTGTAATTACGGGACTGGGTGATGCTGGCTGTAATTACGGCACTGGGTGATGCTGGCTGTAGTTACAGGACTGGGTGATGCTGGCTGTAATTACGGGACTGGGTGATGCTGGCTGTAGTTACGGGACTGGTTGATGCTCGCTGTAGTTACGGGAATGGGTGATGCTGGTTGTAATTACAGGACTGGGTGATGCTGGCTGTAGTGACAGGACTGGTTGATGGTGGCTGTAGTTACAGGACTAGGTGGTACTGGATGTAGTTACGGGACTGGGTGATGCTGGCTGTAGTTACGGGACTGGGTGATGCTGGCTGTAATTACGGGACTGGGTGATGTTGGCTGTAGATACGGGACTGGTTGATGCTCGCTGTAGTTACGGGACTGGGTGGTGCTGGCTGTAGTTACAGGACTTGGTGATGCTGGCTGTAATTACGGGACTGGGTGATGCTGGCTGTAGTTACGGGACTGGGTGATGCTGGCTGTAGTTACGGGACTGGGTGATGCTGGCTGTAGTTTCGGGACTGGGTGATGCTGGCTGTAATTACGGGACTGGGTGATGCTGGCTGTAGTTACGGGACTGGGTGATGCTCGCTGTAGTTACAGGACTGGGTGATGCTCGCTGTAGTTACAGGACTGGGTGATGCTCGCTGTAGTTACAGGACAGGGTGATGCTCGCTGTAGTTACAGGACTGGGTGATGCTCGCTGTAGTTACGGGACTGGGTGATGCTCGCTGTAGTTACGGGACTGAGTGGTGCTGGCTGTAGTTACGCGACTGGCTGGTTCTGGCTGTAGTAACGGGACTTGGTGATGCTGGCTGTAGTTACAGGACTGGGTAACGCTGGCTGTAGTTACGGGACTGGGTGATGCTGGCTGTAGTTACGGGACTGGGTGATGCTGGCTGTAATTACGGGACTGGGTGATGCTGGCTGTAATTACGGGACTGGGTGATGCTGGCTGTAGTTACGGGACTGGGTGATGCTGGCTGTAGTTACGGGACTGGGTGATG